AATTCTTTAATATTTATGTATAATTAAATAACTAAATATATATAATATTACGAGTCTCAATAAAAAAATTTTAATAACTAAATAATATATAAACTTATATTAAAAAAATTATACACAAAAATTTTCACTAAATTATTTTGCTTTTGTAAAACATATATAGACCAACATTCAATTTAATGACTGTTTTCCTTTCCCACCGGTCTAGGTTCCCACATGTAAGACTAGCGCTATGGATCAAGAAAGAGGCTTGTGTGCGCACAGTTAACGTGTGTGTGTGTGTTTTAAAACTAATTTAAAGGCTTGATTTGTGGGTTCAGATTCATTTGAAGTCTAGTGGCAAGACAGCGACAGCATACCAATTCTCACGTGAAAGACTAGCATTTTTAATTCATCCACAACTTGAACACTTCAAAATTCGTTCCAAATACAAACTTTCATCATATGATAGAAAGAAATTAAACTTCATTTGGTAGGGCTACTTATATCATCAAGGACATAGCTTATTCATACCACAAAGATTAATTTCCACGACACTCTCTAATCCAAAATACATATAGTTAATTAATAAGGCTTCTCGCCGTAGTAGTTGCCCGTGGGATCATAGTTGCAACTAACCAAAGTCCCACCATTGTTGCACCTCACCTTAGCACACCCCATGCGGACTGACTTTCGCCACACAACTTGAGTATAGTGTCCACAAACCTTATTGGGGGCACAACTATTGGAATTGTAGTCATAGTCGGACTTCTCATTAACCCACATCGCGACGGTATCCGTGCCAGTTAAATCGACGCTGCTCCATCCAAGGTTCTCACCATAATCACCACCTGACTCCACCATGTTGCAGTCACCAATGTGCTTTCTGAGATAGTTCCGTGCATAGGCTGCAATGGTATCATTCCAAGACATGGGGCCCACATTGACGGCAGCACGAGCAGCGTTGTGGCCGTCGAGGTAGTCTTTTGGTGAGTTTTGGGCATGGGAGGGGATGACAAGAGCTAGGGCCAGGAGACAAGCGAGAGCCATAGAAACCTTGGAAATCTTCATTATGGCTTATAGAAGAAATGAAATATCTTTGAGTTGGGTTTGAGGCACTGAATCAATGAATTAGAGGGGTATTTATAACCAGCCGATGTGGAAAATTATCCAAATAAGTTAGTGACTTTAACATTTGAATAATTCAAAACGGCCATTTTCCTACATATCCAAGGCTTTGAAACATATTTAAAATTTTTAACAAAGAAAATATTATTTTTCAGTTTAAATTACGCATTAAAAGTATGGTTTAAAAATTAAAAATATCAAAATACTATTAATAAATCAACATAGGGCATAAATTTCATTAAAGATAGTTTGATAAATTCATAGTTCATATTATATTTGTTGACTAAAAAACACATTTTTTATTGGCAAATAAAAAGAAAAGATAGATTTTTTTTCTTATTAGGATTCGCCGAAGAACTTGCTGGTTGAATATGAAAACATTATACTATTTTTAGCAAATGAAAAAGAAAAAAGAAAAAAAAAAGTTTATTAGAAATGTTCTATAATTGAAAACTTGAAGTTTCAGGTTTGACACATCAAATTTGAATTCTAAAATAAATTTAAAAGAATTTTAAAAAAAAAAGATTTCATTATGTTGTATAGCCTATATCATTTAATATATATATATATATATAACAAAGAAAAGGTAAAATGATCTCTTTCACGTCGATAACATGTTTCTGAACTCAAAAATCTTTCTTTTAAAATGACATGGCGAAGTTGTTCTAGTACAAGTGTTAATGGCCCTCACCTTCGTGCGCACGGTTCATATATATGTTGCTCGAAAAGTCACTCACACAAATTAACTCAATTTTTTGTGGTTACTTTATTTATTTATTTATTTATTGTTATTATTATTATTATTTTACATAATAAAAGGTAAAAACTCCTCTTGTCAATTAATTCACTTATACATTATGTGATTTGAATATAAAATTTCAAATAATTTCTTTCACTTAAAAAATATTATATCATTAGATCACTTCAATAATTAACGTATGTGTTTTAGAACTAATTTAATAGGCTAGATTTGTGGGTTGAGGCATATTTTTAGCCTTATGACAAGATAACATACCAATTCTCATATAAAATACTAGCATTTTAAATTAATCCACAAATTGAACACTTCAAAATTCGGTCCAAATACAAACTTCCATATATTATAGAGAAATTACTAATGCATTAATTTACTTCATTTGATCGCGCTATATTTATCCATCAAGGAAATAGATTATTCATAATACATAGGTTAATTTCCTTGACACAATTTAATTAACGCAAAACACGTGTAGTTAATTAATAGGGTCTCTGCCCAGCGTAGTTGCCCGGGCGATCATATATAGTTGCAACTAATCAAAGTCCTACCCCTGTTGCAACTCACCTTAGCACACCCCAAGCGGACTGAGTTGCGCCACACAACCTGAGTATAGTGTTCACAAACCTTATTGGGGTCGGAACTATTGGAATTGTAGTCATAGTCGGACTTCTCATTAACCGACATCGCGACAGCATCCGTGCCAGATAAGCCAGCGCTGCTCCCATGCAAGGCTCTCACCATAAGGACCACCTGTGACTCCACCATATATGTTGCAATCACCAATGTGCTGGCTGAGATAGTTTTGTGCATAGGCTGCAACAGTATCATCCCAAGACATGGGGCCCACGCCGACAGCGGCACGAGCAGTGTTGTGGGCGTACGTCAAGGTAGTCTTGTGGTGAGTCTTGGGCGTGGGAGGGGATGACAACTATTGACAAGGGCAAGGGCTAGGGCCGGAAGACAAGCGAGATTGGAAATATTCATTA